CAGGGGTGTGGGGGAGTGAGTTCCAGGGGTGTGGGGGAGTGAGTTCCAGGGGTGTGGGGGGAGGGCTGGAATTTGTGTCACTAAGGAGGGGAAAGAGAAGGGGAAAATGGAATCCCTGAAGGATAAGCTCAGCTACACAAAGCCTGAACACTGTCTCCCACAGCTGTCCAGGCCCAGCCATGCTATATACAATGCTCCCTGTGCTCACTCAGTCAGCCTCAGGACCCTCACTACCCTTCCCAAAGCCTGCGGCCATTATTCTGAAGGGAAGAATTGTGTTCTCTAGAAGACTTTGACACAGGTTCAGAGTGGGGTCCTTTCTACAAAAAGTAGGAGTCCAGGCCCAGAGATCCCAATTCCAGGTTGACCCTGACCTGGCCTGCCAGGTGCACCCTGAACAGCTTCTGCGTCTGTTTTTTCATTGGTGAGCTGATGTGACCAACGGTACAGAGTCAGGGTGTGGGAGCAGTCGCAGCCTCTGAAAGGATGCCTAGTCTGCTGAGCTCAAGAGGCAGGAAGCAAAGAATTTCTCCCGGAGAGTCAAGGGGTCTGTGAAGAACAAGGGGTTCCCACCAACCCTGCTCCCCAAGGTGCTCCCGGAGCTAAGACCCTCAGGGGTGCCACACAGCACTCTATGGAACCAAGGTTCTTAACCAAGACCAGTGACCTGAGTGTCTGAGCTTGTTCCTTCGTTTGTTGTTTGTTTGTTTGTGGTGCTGGAAACCCAACCCAGGGGCTTCTAAACGCCTGTCAAGTGTCCTACCATTGATCTATACCCTGACTTTCTACTACCCATCCCCCATCATCTTTTTTTTTAAATTCTTGCTATTCTCATGCTTACTTAGGGGACTGTTAAGAAGTTCTAAGCCTCATCAGTCTTCAATAAACAACACTACCAAGTCAGTCAGTCTTATCGGTAGCACATGCAGTCCAGTGGCCAGTGGCAGCACGTGTGTCATCAGGCCGCTGTTCTGCAGGGAACCGAAAGTCAGGGTTGTTGCAGAGTGATGCTCGAGCCTGAAGACCCTTCCTGGGCTTTAAGCAAAACAAGGAAATTCCCCAATTCCTCATTTGGTCTCTTGAACAGAAGGGCCAGTTAACACACAGTGTATTTGGCAGAAAGAGGCCAACGTTTTAAAACCAGTGTGAGGCATTTAAACTCTCACAGAAAAAGTCAGGGGACACTGAACTACACCTAGCCCCTCCTCCTTCCTGAATATTCTGTGCGATTGGATAATGGTGCGATTGGTGCTGGGTACCGGTACTGTGTGACTGGTCAGTGCTGGCCACTTCTGTCTGCTGACACCAATAACAGACAAGAGAGGGTATCTGTTCCAGAGCCACATCTGAGTCTCCCAGAAGGGAGTACCCACCTGCCTTAGCTTCCTACTGGACTTTCAGCAGATGGCCATCACAGGGTGCCCACAATCACCAGGGAGGGAAGAAAGGGAAGAAAGAGGAACAAAAGACCACACACACACACACACACACACACACACACACACACACACACACACACATGCCCAGCCTGAGGTCCTATTTGTTCAGTCCTTATTGTGTATCAGAGCCTCCCACTAGTCAGAAATACTATATGGATGAATACTATATGGTATACCTCTCCAGGGGAATCAGAAAATAATGCCTGCTAGCCTAATGCTGGCTTAGGCAGGAAACTTACTAAAAGCATTTGTTGATAACTATTCCCAACATCAGCCATGACTAGAGGGTCCTTTCTTATACCCCCGTGATGCTCCCCACCCACCCCCACCCCTGTGAACTCTTCTGGCCCAGACATCACTGTACTATGTCCTCACTGTTGATTTTTTTCTATCCATGGGTTTTAGCTTTATAAACCACATCTTCATCACCCGCTTGATCCTAAGGAATCCACCCAGAATGCAAAATGTTCTGGAGCAGAAAACAATGCCTTAATGCCTAGGAGATTCAACTGTGACCTACACACTTTAAAAACACATCTATAGGCACCTGGGTTTAAGCAAGGGTATGGAAATATGTACTGGAAAAATGAGAGCCTTTTCAGTAATGACCCTGATAAATAAAAATGGATGTCCACAAGCAGAGAATGATGCTGGACAGCTATTTCTCACCAGCTTGAACAGACCAGTACTTAAATATAAGACCCGACACTGTAAGATGTTAGAAGAAAATGCAGGAGACATGATTCAGAATACTTCGATGGGATGGATTTTCTAAAGAGGGCCCAAAATAAGAAACAAAGGAAAACTGGGCAAACAAAAAACTGAAACACTTCTACACAGCAACGACAGCAGGCAACCGAGTTAAAGGACAAACTACGGACTCTGTATTTCAGACTGCGTTCCTGATATGGGCAAATACCCAGAATATTCATATCTACACCAAAACTTGAAAAACTCTATAACCAGCAAATACCCCATAAAAACGGGTGGTAGGTCTAAATCAACTTGTCTCAAAAGAAGACACGTAAATGACCAGCAGATATATTTTAAAAGAGTAAACCTCACTAATCATCAGGGAACTACAACTCAAGAAGCAGCCCCTCCTTTCCTAAGAGTGGCTCTCATCACACAGGAGTCAACATGTACAGTGGAGGCTATTGAGAAAGAGAACCCTTCGTGTTGGTGGTGGGAACCATAGCCGGCAGAGCCAGAAGAACACAATGGCTGCTCCTAAGGAATCCTAAAACGTCAAGAATGGAGCCACTCTCTGACCCAGCACACTCTCACTCCCAGGTCTGTATCCAAAGGAAACGAAACTCCTTTGATCTGCATAAGTAGGAGACACATCTGCCATGTTCATTGAAACACTGTTCACAACAGTCAGGAAACGGAAGCAACCCTCGGAGTCCATCAACATAGGAATCCCAGGGCTTGGGAGGGAGAGACAGGTGATTACTGGGGCTCCCACGGTGGCCAAAAAGCCTAGCCTATTTGGCAAGTCCGGGTCAAGGAGAAATATAGTTTCAAAAAAAAAAAAAAATCAAAGTAGATAGTACCTGAGAAATGACACCCAAAGTAGACCTCTGGCCTTCACACTCATGTGCACAAGCACCCCTCCTCCCACAAGAAAACAAATGTGACGTGTCTGCATGCTTGTATTTACGGGTAAATGGTGAAAAGGGTTACTGGATGCAACGAAAATGCCAAACAACCTAACTGAGAACAGACACAAGGTCAGTGGAAGGATGTGAATGAATGTTCTTTTCATATAAGAAATCGAAAACTTACAGAAAGAATTCACATCAGAAGTAAAACACAGACTATTATTTTTGTTAAGGTTTGTTACATTTTTGGAAAGGCTGATTAATAAAGAATCGTGAAGCTGGGCTGAGTGGCACATATCTAGAATCCGGCTCTTTGGGAGGTTAGATTAGGAGGCTCAGGAGTTGAAGGTCTGCCTGGTTTACAGAGTGTGTTCTAAGCTAGCCTGGGCTACTGGGAGATACCTTTCTCTCAAAATGAGTACAAGTCAGGGTTTGGGAATGAGTGCTTGCCTAGCTCACGGGAGACCCTGGGTTCAATACTCAGTGCTCTAAAGAGAGTTTGAGGCCCTTTCATCTTATATTCTTAAAAGTCTTGTGTGACTACATATGTTACAATGTTGTTTAGAAGTGGAAACTGAGGCAGGAAGATTTTGCAATAGCTTCTTTCCCTGGTCCAGCAAACATTCAGATGACTTGGGGCAAGAGAAAATATTCTAACATTATGTTTGTACCAATACTCTTTAACTATTGTTCCAAAAACTTTAGCTATAAAAGCAGCAAAAATGAAATGAATGTTTCTCATTCTTCCCCCAGGGGAAGCTGAGGCCAAGTCACACTTGCTACTGGGCAGCGCTTTTTCTATTTGTGAGACTGTGCCATTGGCTTATGGGAGAAGCCATATCCCCTGACAGTAAGTCCCTCTAAAGGATTCCAACTCTGCCAAGTTGAAAGAGTGTGGAAATAAGATTTGCCCTTACATACACAGGCATCGAAAACAGGCATGCCTTTAAGTCTTAGTTCAAATTAAAAACCCATTTAGGGCAACGTGAAAATCGGAGCTTACTTTTTATAGCCCGTGACCTTTGCTAAGGGTGTTATTTTTAAATTCAATAAAATGTCATATTATCTGTCAGAAAAAAAAAATGTGGTGCCTATGCCGAGTGGAAGATTATTTATCTGTACAGAAAAAGAAGAACCTGTCATTGGCAACATGAATGGAATTAGAAGCTTTGGGGTTTAGTGAAATAAGCGAGGCACGGGAAGTTGAGCACCATGCCGCTGAGCCCTGAGCCATCTCACTTACATATAAGTTATCACAAAGTGTATTGTATACTAAGAGCAAGATGGTGGTTACCAGAGGTAATGGTGAGATAATCAAGGGAAAGGTTCTTCAAAGGATAGAAAGTCACGGATACCATTTCACAGTACAGTGACCATAAACCATGATAGTGTAGTGCACTTTTCTTGCAGAAGGCTAGAAAAGGGGATTTAGAATGTTTGCAGCACAAATAACTGATAAATGTCTGAGCAGATATACTTTGTGCTGATTTAAACATTACACATTGTGCCCATGTGTCAAAACACCACATGGCACACCATAAATACATATGATTTTTATGTTCTAGTTGGTTAAAAACAATAAATACTCCCCTCCTTTCTCCCATGACTTTCTCCCCTACACAGACAAGGACATGGAGGAGACAGCGGGGAGGAACCGAAGAGCAGCCCCGCACATGGCTTCAGGTGGCAACAATGGCTTTCAGCCCCCAGCTAGTGAGCTCACGGACGTGACCACTGAAGATGTGTTCTGACTTATAGAATCCTGAGGGTGAATTGAGAAAAACACAGCATGCAACTGAAATGAACTTGAGATAACAAATAAACAAACAGCAGACACCTACGCTCCAGTCCAGAGTCGCTCTGGGCTCCTTTGCTGGACCATTCGCCACAGGAAGGCCAAGAGGATGTGCAGGAGCCAGGTGCTGGAGGCCTGTCCGGGAGATGGCTTTCCTGCAGCAAGAAAATAAATATATAAATAAATTCATACATATATATATGAACACACAAACATGAGAGTCTTGTACAGAGCTCATAGCTCCGTGTGGGGTAGAAACTGTACCCAAGTGACCTGAGTGAATCTCCAACATCTGATACCCCTTACACCTGTGCTGAGATACACCTCTGCTAGGATAGAGAGGGATAAATCTCCCCAAATCAGGACACTTGAGGCAGCCGCTTTGTAATGGGGATATAAGGACAGAATCTGAAAGCTCAACTTCTTTTCAGGGTAGAGGGCAAGAGTGGAGCCTCTCCACTTACAGAAATGGACATGGTGTGGATAGTTGCGATACTTGGAAAGTAATTCAAGTTTCCAGAGACGACATGTAAGCAAAGCCCTCTCCTGCAGCCCAACTTCCCAGAACAGCACTGCTCAGGCTGGTTACCAATGAACGTCTGCTCTTCCTCTCTTCTGAGAGCATCCTCCTTCTCCATGCAGAGGACCACTGTCTGCTGAGCTGAAAACTCTCAACATGAAAGGACTGACTTGCATCTGCCAAGGAACAGCCCACATTCCTTCAGCACCCTTCAACACAAGCAAGAGGACCCACAGCAAGAGAAGCAGGGAGGGGAAGAGCTACTGTGAGTGCCTCCCCACCCCCACCCCACCCCACCCCCACCCCGCTCCATGAGAGTCTCTGAGGGAAAAGGTGCTTATACCAGAAAGATAAAGGACTAGGAGCAGAAGCGGGGAGATGTGTTACACCCTAAAGGGCAGGTGGCCTCTCTGCATGTTCATTGACCTATCCAGACTCCACCCAGGCATGGAATTGGTGCGTTTAGGCAAGAAGAGTAGTTCTCCACACCCAAGGGTGGACATGTGCCACCACTGGTCTCTGCGTTTGTCAGAGAGCTTAGCGGGTGTCCGGCTCTCTGAGTTTCTTTTAGGGTCCCTTGGAGTCCTAACCAGGAAGTTCCAGAAAAAAGGTCTTCAGTAGCTGGAAATTATCACAACAAGCTTGCTGGCAATTTTCCAATGCTCCCGCTGTATGCAGGCAACATATTTGATGTCTGTAATCCCCCAGACTCGTCATAAGGGTGGAAGGAAGACAGGTAATGAACCACATCAGTTTTGGCTCCTCACACCAAAGTGTGTTCCACAGCCTCCAGCCATATTCTTATGAAAGAAACAGTGGCTCAGTATGGTGACATGGGCCTGGAATCCAGCACAGCTAAGGACACAGGAGCAGGAGGTTCTGAAGAGAGGAAGTTCAAGGCTATCCTGGGATACATAGCAAGACCCTGACTTGGAAAGTAAAAGGTAAGTAGACATTCCAAGGTGCTAAGATAGTCTAATAAGATAACAGAAGAAACAAAAGGATGAGGATGGATGACGGAGGGATAGAGAATCTTCTAGGGCAATCCTTCGCTCGCAAAGGTTTTCCTCCCACATTGAGGGACTTTCTCTGGCATGATTCTTAGTTTTTTTTCTTTCTCTAGATACAAAGGCCTCCCCACCAATGCTAAACCAGTTTACATTGTTAATAAAAAGGTATTTTTGTGGCTTCAGAAACTACGGGTTCTGCCTTCAGGTCTTCAAGAATCTCCACAATGTAAAGTTACACGTTTAAAAACTACCACAGCTAGAGGCTGGGACAGGAGGGTTATCATTTCAAAGCCTGCCTGGGCTACACAGCAAGTTTGAGGGTAGCCTGGGCAACTTAGCAAGACTTAAGACATAACTCCATGTGAAAAGGCCCTGGTTGAAATATTTGGGGGATTCGGGGGGCAAGAAGGAGGAGGACGAGAGAGAAGGAAGGGAGCAAGGGAGGAAGGGAGGAAGGGAGGGAAGGAGAGAGGGAAAAAAAGGAAAAACAACCTTGGGTCTAGGCTTGATCCTCAGACAGACAGACAGACAGACAGACAGACAGACACACACACACACACACACACACACACACACACACACACACACACACAATACACAAGCACGAAGCCTCGGGATGGCTGAAGATCTCTTAAATTTGAGACAAATGAGAGGAAAACACATCTTTCAGAGTTTCACAAACTATCTCAGAGACTTATGACCAGAAAACAGAAGAGAGGGGGAAAGGAGTGGAAGGAGAAAAGGAGATCAAGGAGTTAAGGAGAAGAAGGAGGAAGAGGGGGAAAGAAATAGAATTTCACTGTCAGGTCCTGGCAGAAACCTGAGCAAATGATTTCAGCTCCTACGCACCGGCAGACTGTGACAGCCAACCTTTCATCACCCTCCAGGACTAAGAACCAACCCCTGACCCAGCAGCAAACGACCCAAACTACCGACACAGGAGGCAAGGCAGCCATACAACACAGAACACCATTGCGCAGTGAAAGATCAACATGGTATTTCACTGGAACTCTGGACAAAGCATGCCCTTTTCTAGTCTGTGCACAGAAGCAATGAGGTCTTTTTATTACTTCTCATTTATTCCTCATTATGGACCGAATGTAAAGTTGAATTTGTAACATTAACAGAAGAAAGCAGTATATGAAAATGAGTAAGAGGCATCAAGAGCATCTACCAGTCTGTGACCAAAAGCGCATCTTAGAAAAGTAGATATATGAAACACAGAATAGAAAAATCATTATTAGGAAATATTGGGGCCTGGGAAGGTGCTTCTGATTTCAGCTTTCTACTCTTCTAAATGGCAGAAAATGATTTTTTTCTAGCAGTTCATACATGTACAGACATTTTCGTTCAAAGAGCACAGGATTCTCATTATATATATCTGAGACCTCAACTAAAATCAGTGTTAGCTTTCTATACATCCATCATGGTAGTGGAAGATGACATGAAATTCTAGCAGAACCTGGTGTGTGTATGGAAGGGGTGAGGTCAGTTGTTTTATGTGACAATTTGCTCCAATAAAACAATAAATGGGAGTTCAACATTTCGTTCTTTCTTCCTGCTCAGAATCCTCCCCAATGCACAGACTGCAAAGCGTGAAATGCCAACAATTCTATTAACTTCACAACATCACTTTGTGGGGAGTGAATATTCTCACAAGAGCATGTCTGAAAAGAACTGTGATATTAACTGTGAAATAAATATGAAAAGAAAATATTTCATAACGTGGTTCCCAGAGCATAAAGTCACAGTTAATGTCAATTACCTGACATGAAAGACCACTAACACATTTCAAGTACAAAAGCCATCTTACATCTTAAATAGCATTCTATTATTCTCTTTCCTTCACTCAGTAAGACTATAAACTCCTAAAGGACAGGGCTCCATTCATCCACTAATCCTGTTATGTCTAGCCCAGGGGTAGACTCTGCAAATATTCAATAAATGCTTTCTGAATTAATGAATGAACTTGACCAAAAAGCTAAGCAAAACAGCTTGCTGATTAGATCAGGGCTTGAGAAATCCAATTAGGATGATTTGAATAACGACCCAGGCTTTACCTCAGAGACGCTCTTTGCTGAGAGGGTCCAAAGTCCTTCAAAGGAGCTCTTTAAAAATAAACGCAGCTGGCATGGTGGCACGTGCCAGGATTTCAATCCCAGCACTCAGAAGGCCAAGCAGAGCCGGGAAGGCCGTATGTTCAAGGCCAACTTGGACTGCATGCATAGGGAGACTTTTCCAAACACCAAAAAAATTAAATACATGCAAATGAGGTAGAACTCACCCCTGAGAGGTCTAGGGATCAATCCAGGCCTGAGAGTGCATGCCTGTGATACTACAGTGGGGAGGCAGAATCAGGAGGATCACCAAGTGAAGGCTATCCAAGGTCTGGACCAAGCCATCTCATAAGAAAAGAAAACTGAGAAAGAAGGGAAGGGTAGGAGGAAGGGAGGGAGAGAGGAAGGCAGGGAAGGAAGGGGAGAACCAAAATCTAAATAATCAAAAGGGGGGAATAAATCTAACCTTGGAGACACTGAATCAGCTCATCTTCTTTGTATGACTACTGAAATACCATCCCATTGTGCTATTTATAAAGGACATATTACAAGGGTATTAATGATTTTAGACAAGGTCTCACCCTATACCTCTGGCTAGCTAACTGCCCTGAACGTACTATGTAGACCAGGATGGTATCAAACTCACAGAGATTCTCTTGCCCCTGCCTCCCAATTGCTGGGATTAAAGGCATGTGCCATCACCTCTGGCCAGGCTATTAACTTTTTGTAATGTACTCACCCAAAGAAACATGTAACATAAATACTTTTCATAAACAAATTGGAAAGACATGCAGGACTGATTATTCAGCATGTTACCCTCTTGGGATCCATTTCTAAATTCCAATCTACTCTCATTTCAACTCATTTGTATGACTCCCAGATTCAAGCCATGCGCCTGACCCACCACTCTCTGAGGAGTCTAATACATGAGGATGAGATTGAACTTCTATGTAATGAGTGGGAAAGTGCCAGAGAATACAAAGCGTGGCTTGGCCAGGATACCTAAAGACCGACAGGAGATACTGATGCATTCATCCCAACATTCTAGAAAGGAGCCAGATACCTAAAAAGTTACTCTGTTCTTTAGGTTTATTTCCCAAGTGCCTCAAGAGACATCCGGTGGGGCTGGCAATACAGCTCAGTGATAGAGTACTTGACTAGTATGTGAGGCTGTGAGTTCAATACCCAGTACCTCAAACACACACAAAACAGACATGCTATACAGTGTGTGTGTGTGTGTGTGTGTGTGTGTGTGTGTGTGTGTGTGTGTGCGCGCGCACGCGCGCGCGTGCTGGTGTGCTTTTCCTTATGTCATGGAGACCTTAGTCACTTGTATCCAAGGTAGCCCATACTGCTTCTCAGTTAACCTAAACAAACAGCCTGAAATGCTAATAGTCCACACAGTGAGAACCAGTTCCAAGCCCCACATAAATGTAAATATCCCACCCGTGATTTATGTAGGGGAACAAGCTGTGTAATTACTTGAGTCAGTCTTATTCCACATTGCATATAAATCCAAAGTCATTTTTGACAATTTTAAATGTGCATCAACATCTTCAAGGATGTAA